CCTCCCAAGTAGCTGGAAGTACAGGCACCCACCACAATGCCCAGCTGTTTTTTTTTATTTTCAGTATAGACCAGGGTCAAATTCTTGCTCAGACAGGTCTTGAACTCCTAAGCTCAGGCCTCAGCCTCCTCAGAGTGCTAGGATTACAGGCATAAGCCACCATGTCCAGCCACTCACTAGCTTTGAATGGCATATCATTTTTACTTTCTGTGCCTCAGTTTTCTCACATTTAAAAGTTAGAAGGTAGATGAGTGACCTCTAAGCTGCCTTCAAGTTCTGGCATTCTTGGAATTTACGGCTCTTGAGAGCCCTGGTCACAATGCTCCCTGCACAGGTGGCTAGGAGAGGAGCCAGCCAGAATGCACTTGCAGAACATCCCCTGCTTCTCTGCAGGGGTGTGTGTGAAGCCACAGCTGGGAAGGTAGGAGGGAGGGCTGTCGGCACCTGGCTGGGGTAGGCATGCAGGGCCTGTCATACCTGTACTGTCTCTGGTCTTCCTGAGAGCTCCCACCAAATGGAAGGGCCAGAAGTGCCAAGTCACTGACCACTAGCGGGGCTCCCAGGCCAAGGCCTCCTGGGAGGGCCCCTTTCTCTCATGGGGGCTTGTGGGCAGAGGACATCCACATTGACAGAACAGGGGCTGACGCACTTCCCCTTCCTCTCAAAAGCGAGGAACAAAGAGGAAAAATGTTTACACTCAAAGCACAGTCTGCTCCCAGTCCCTCACCCTACTCAGTCCCACAGCTGGCTGGATTCCACAACTAAGTGTTTTTTCTTGCCTCCTCTCCTTCCCCCTGCTGACTCCTCTCCCCTCTTTGGTGGTCCTCATGGATCTGGGCCCCAGGCCCTGGGTGGGTGCCAGCAGCTGCTCCCTATGTCCTCTCCCCGGCTTTGCTCTGTTTGTCTGCTACCTAATCTCAGTGACTGTGAAAGGACACTGTGTCTGAGCCATGGCCACCCCTGGCTGGCCCCCTGACCTACCCCCTTTCTACTATTTAGATAGCCATCTCCCTGGTGGTCTCCCTGACTGTGAAATCTTTGAGTGATGTTGGGTTTTTGGTGGGAGGCTGTGATAAGTTCAACGAGCTGCCATTTCCCTGGGCAGTCAAGAGACTGATGGCAATGGGCTGATTCTAGCAGGGACCAGGTCTGCTTGGGCCCCTTCTGACGGCCCCCAACTCACCCCTAGGCATCCTCTTTTACATATTTGGTGCAAGCACTTTGTGCTCAGGGGTGTGTTTTTCTTGATTCCTTGTACTCACTTCCCTTGCCCCATTCACAACAAGGCGACCCCCGGAGCTTCCTTTGCCTTACTTTCTAGGGCATCTATAGTGCTGGGGAGAGCCTGAAATGTTCCCCATGCACCTGGTAACCAAGATGGTGCACTGTTTCCTGAGGTCTAGGCCAAGAGTGTGCACAGTTCACAGAAAAGAACCCTGGACTTGGAATCTCCATCTTCCTTCACATCAGAGGCTTCCTCTGCTCAGGAAGGAAGGGTCTTCCTCTCCCTGAGCAGACCCTCTCTGAAGACCGCTCTATGTGAATGTGCTCTGGTTCTGAGTCTGTGGGCTTTGTGGAGGAGAGCCTGGAAGAAGGAGGGAAGTGGCACCTCACTAGCATTTATCACGGTTCTTTTTTCTTTCTCTTTTTAAAAATAAAACCAGACTCTGTTCTGAAAATAAAAAACTTGAGACTTGTGACAAGCTTCCTGTGTGGGGTAAGATCTTTTCTGTCCTGATTTCTTTACTGGATTCATAAATGTCACTGTGACATTTGTCACCGTTTTACAGGTTTGTGTTAATATTACGGGCACACCTAGGCCCTTTCCTTCTGGCAGCTGGCATGCTGTCCAGGGCAGTAGTGAGGCTGTGGTCTAGAGCTGGCAGGTGTCTATCCAGGTTTGCTGCAGGCAGAGCCAGCTCACATGCATTCAGACTGGCAGCAATTTCCCCAGACACCTTGAGCTTTCTCTCCCATTTCTTTCTCTCCTCTCTCTCTCTCAACGGAGTCTCATTGTGTCACCCAGGCTGGAGCGCAGTGGTGCAGTCAGCTCACTGCAGCCTCAAACTCCTGGGCTGAGGTGATATTTCTGCCTCAGCCTCCTGAGTAGCTAGGACTACAGGTGCCCACCACCATACCTAGCCTTCAGACCTCTTCCTAAGACTAGCTTACAAAGGGGAAAAGGCTTGGGAAACTAAATTTTAAACACTCTGTCCTCTTCCATGGCTCTTGCCCTAGCCAGAGCATAAATTCTTGTATACGAGATTAAATAAGGCCATGGACTTTTTGTTTTGTTTTAACATGAAGGATACTATTAAGTCTATGGCAGAACACTGGGTCTGCACCAAAAAAAAA